TAAGGAGGCATATACTTTTGTTATTATGCTTTTTGTTTCTGTGTGTCTTAGAGCTTTTTCTGGTCCCTCATTTCCTACATTACTATCTTCTCTTGTGTTTAGTTGATTTTTAATGGACATGTTTAAATTCCTTTTTCATTTATCTTTGTGTATATTATTGCTATTTTTTGTGCTTACCTTGGGGATTACATTTAACATCATAACACTGATTTGAATTTGTACCAGCTTAACTTGAGTGACATGTAGAAACTCTGTCCCTTTACAGCTCCATCCCCAACTCTTTCTTTTTTACGATGTTGCACAAATACATCTTTATAACTGTGTGCCCCAAAATATAAACTAGTAATTCTTTTAAACACATTAATTTCTTAAGTTATATAGAAAATAACATGTGGAGTTACAAAGTAAAGCTATAGTAATATTAACCCTTAACACTAATTAAAAAAAAAATACATCAGTCCTTAAAAAATATATTCATCTGTTAAATCATGATGAGAACAAAATGAGGAGTTACAAGCTGTTGCTGCAGTAACACCAGCTTTTGTAACTGCGTGTGTGTGTCTTTCCCAAGAGCCTTCTCTCTCCACGTGGCTTCAGGTTGCTGCCTGGCGTCCGTTCACCTCACCTGCAGGACTTCCCCAGCAGTTCTTGCATGACGGGTGGTGCTCACAGACTCCCTCAGCTTTTGTTTATCTGGGAATGTCTTGATTTCTTCCTCACTGTGAAAGGACAGCTTTGATGGGTATTGGATTCCTAGTTGAGTTTTTCTCTTTCGGCACTTTGAATTTATTGACCCACCATTCTCTGCTGACCAGAAGTCTACTGATCATTTTACTGAGGATCCCTTGTTTGTGTATGAACATCTTTCTGGCTGCTGTCAAGAGTTTCTCCTTGTCTTGGAAAGTCGAATTGTTCCGTGTCTCGGCATCAGTCTCTGAGCTCATCTTACTTGGAGTTTGCTGAGTTTCTTGGGTCTCTATATCCATATCTTCACTGAGCTCGGGAGGTGCGCCGCCACACTGTCCTCAGGTACTCTCTCTGCCTCCCCCCCCCCCCCCCCCCCCCTTCTGGGACACCCACAATGTGTGTGGGGTCTGGTTCCCTTGGGCTCTGCTCACTTTTCTCAATCTTTTTTCTTTTTTTTCCCCTCAGACTTAATGATTGTGTTNATGCCTCCTCAGATCTGCCTTTGAGTCCTGCAGTGCATTTTTTATTTCCATTATTGTGCTTTTCAGCCCCAGAATTTCTTTTTGGTTTCTTTTTAGGTTTTCTCATCAATATTTCTGGTTTTGTTCATACATCATTTCCTTGACTTTCTCTACATCCTTAATTCTTTGAGCATGTTTAAGACAGTCGTTTGATCTGTGATTAGGCATTTTTTAGGACAGTTTCAGTTGAATTATTTTTTCCTTTGAATGGACCATATTCCTTTTATGCCTTGTGATTTTTGTTGTTGGTGGTGATGAGCTAATAATGTGGTAAATCTGGAAATCGGAACCATCCTCTTCCTCAGGATTTGCTGTTCTGGTTGTTGTGTTTGTTTCTTTGATTACGGTTTGCTGTCTCTGGGCTGAGGATCAGCCTGATGTGTGACCTTCAGGTCTTCTCAGATCTTTTCTGTCTGCACCTTTCCCTAAGGACACACACAATCACTTTCTGCTTTTTTCTGTGTATTCAGTTGCTTTTGAATGTTGTAGGTTTTAATTTTTCTCCAAAAGAAAAATGCAGTATGGAGTAAAAGGGCACTAGCCCTTTAAATCTCCCAGAAGTTCCTTTAGTCAAAGGGGGAGAGGCTGCAACTGTGGCCTCCGCCTCGTCTGCCCCGCTGTGAGCAGAATCAGCACTCAGAACACAGGTCCTCAGTGTCTGGGGGGCAGGGTCCTTTTTGCCCACCGTGGCTCCAGGAGCAGGTGCACAGCTGCCTGCCAGGGGGTGGGGGTGGGTAGGTGTCATTATGCTAAGAGCCAGAGGGACTGTGGTTCACCCTGCAGGCCGTCCCGTGAAGTTGCGAGCCTTCAACAGACTCGAGTTCCAGAGTAGTTGCACCAGACAAGATTCTGCCGGGTCACCTGTTGTCCAGGTGGGGAGATGGACACCTGGAGCTTACTGCCCCACCACCTTCCCAGAATCTCACCCTTAATTGCTCAAGACAGCCTTGACGTCAGACAAATGGGGCACCATGGACCTCAATTATGTTTACCATGTGCATGTCTTTCTTTTACCTGCAGGGTAAGGGAAACCTACTAGAAGATTGTCAGCTGCAGAAAGCTGACCTCATAACTCAGGTGAAACAACTTCAAGAAAGACTGGACTGTCTGGTCCATTCTCAGAGCCTTCAGAGCTTTGAGACAGAGGGATTTAAATGTCAACAGCCATTGGCATTTTGGCATGTTTTAGAAAATAGTTCAAGTGATAGTTCCAATAATGGTGATGAAGCTGACAATTCACCTCCTGTTGATGCATTAAACATTCATGAAACCCTGTGGGATCCAGTTGATGTTACTGGAAATCCGAACTCAGTGATAAGCGAGGAGCCAGGTGCTCCTGGGGAGGATGAGGTAGATTTGCAGAATGGCTCACTTTGCTTACAGGTGAGCTTGCCCGGTAGCTCCGGCGGCTCATCCCACAGTGAGGGGACAGAGCCCTTAAAGACCACCCTCCGGGCAGTGGACCTATCCTCCTGGAGCTCCCCTGAGGTCGTGAGGAAGGACTGGACCCTCGAGCCCCCGCCCAGCCTGCCCCTGACGCCTTGCTCCGACGCCCTGAGCCAGTGCAGCCTGGATGCCACCCTGCAAGACAGGATAGATGCCTTACTGCTCCCGTCTGACCAGTCCCAGGCACTCTGTTACCCAGGCAGGTCAGCATCCAGAAAGGCACCTGGGTGGGCAGCGTCTCTGCTGGCCACAGTCAGGGCTCCCTTTGCTGACCAGCACGTGCAGTGGACAGCTGTGGTAAGTGGTCCCCTGGGTGCTGTCCTGGTGGGCATGTGTGGGATGGCCAAAGCTCCTGTGCGTTCCCCCAGGAATGTGTCCACGTGTCACAGCTGTATACTACCATCTCATGTAAAATTTTTTAATCCAAAATACTTGCTAGTGACTTCTTTAAAATACTCCTAGAGAGCTGTGGATGAATTTGATTAAATTACTAGAAGCATATGACTTCATTGTGTCCACAAGCTTCAAACACTTTTATTTCGATTCTGTTTGGAAATGATAAATTCAGGCATGTCCATCCGGCAACTCAACTCCCTGGTATAGTATATTGTTATTTTACAACCACTTAAAAATCTACCCCTACTTGAACAGGAGAAAGACGTTGAAGATGCCATCATAACATCTCTTGATTCTCAGCAAAAGTCAGCATCGTCTCCTGGGCTGGCGGGAAGGCCTGGCGGCAGTGCAGTGCGTGAGTGCACCCCTCCCCGCAAGCCTTCATCCTCGTGGGGGTGGTACAGACAGCAGGGCCTGTGCCCTTCATGCCCCCTGCATACTCTGGCCGCGCTGGCGTGCAGGCTCCCCTGTCTCTGTGTCTATGCTCTGGGTGTTGGTTGCAGACCTGAGGGCACTTTGCTCCTGAAATTTCCATGTATTTCACCACATCCAGTTCACCGTGCCCCCTCAACACCAAGTGGCTGTGGCGCATCTACAGACCTGACTCAGGTTTTGCCACCTATCCCGTTAGTGCCCTTTATAGAGAAGAACACTCTGCTGGTATAGTGCCTCCGACGCCTCTTGCAGGATGGAGAACGGCAAGAGGCAGGCTGGGGCCTGAGCACACGTTTTGGGCTGGGAGGCCGTGCCGTGCTGACCCCGAGGGGGTGTGGCCCCTGCATTCCGGGCAGCCCCTCCTTCCCTGTGGGTTTGTAGCAGGGCCGTCAGCACACACGCATCTTGGTGTGTCTGGAGTATGCACAGTGACGCTGTGTTCTTCCCGGTGCACCACAGCACGAGGTCTGGGGCACCAGTGTGGACCCCTTGGCCATATGTCCACCAGGTTTTAGTCCCATTTTTCCCTTTTTAGTTGTCAAGTGTCCTCGGGAAGGGACTTGGGAGCCACAAGATCCTTGCTGGTGGCTGTGGCCTGCGTCATCACCGAGGGGGCTGTCCTGAGCTGATATCTGAGTCCTTCTTTCCTCTATAGTCACTGGCTGTTCATGAGCCAGTCACCGTGAGAGGTTCTGACTTTCTTGGCTCATTCAGCACTTGAGAGAACGAGACCATGTGAGGCACAGCCATTGGCATCTGCAGACCAGGGCCGGCAGCTGGTTCCTTTTAGCTCATGATTGGTCCCAGTGGGAAGTGCGTGGTTTAGGGATTTGAGTGGCGGGTCCCAGGAACAGCCCTGGATTGCCCTTCCCCAGGGACATCACAGCAACTCTCAGAAACTTGCTCTAGGATTTATTTTCAAATCGTATTTGCTAGTTAGAGTCACTTGCATGAACTTCCTGGCTACACACTCCACAGGCCTCTATCCCGTTTTCCCGGGATGCTCCCTTTGCCTTCCGGATTCTCGCAGGGCCGCTGGGGGGTGCACGTTGTCTCTTGCAAGGCTCTCTTCCTTTCCCTTCGCTGCCTCATGGCCTCCCCACACTATACCG